GATGTGTTGTTGAGCAACATGGCCGGGAGCGTACTGTACAGTGCGCTGGATTTGGTAGACGGATACTACCAAATCCTGATGCGAGAGAGCGACATCCCGCTCACCGCGGCAAGCACTCCAAGCGGCATGCTTTGGGAGTGGCTCGTCATGCCGCAGGGCTTGTCTAATGCCCCGGCGACATTCAATCGCCTGGTGACGCAATTGTTCCGCCCTTTGCGTACCTTCGTACAGACGTACTTCGACGACATTTTCGTCCATAGCCGTGCCGAGGGAGGTAAGACGGCCATGGAGGTGCATCTAGGACACCTCCGTCGAGTGTTGGACGTGATGCGAGCAAACAAGCTCTACGCCAACATCGACAAGTGCGTTTTCGCGTCACCAGAGATCAAAGTTCTCGGTTGCTTCGTAAGCAACGTGGGCGTTCGGGCTGACCCAGACAAGGTCAAGGCCATAGCAGCATGGCCGACGCCCCGATCCCAGAAGGATCTTCGAAAGTGGTTGGGTTTGGCCAACTACCTTCACAAGTACAGCGCTGGGTACGCGGGCTTCGCTAAGCCCTTGTCGAGCCTCCTTCAGAAGGACGTCGACTGGCGCTGGGAGCAAGAGCACCAGGATGCTTTTGACAGCATCAAGGCCAGTCTCCAAGAGGCCCCTGTCCTGGCTCTGCCGGACGAGACGAAGCCGTTTAGCGTCGTCTGCGATGCCTCCGATTACGCCATCGGGTGTGCATTGCTGCAGGACGACACGGCTGGACAGGAACGAGTCATCTCATTCCAGTCCAGGCAGCTCAAAGCCGCCGAGCGGAACTACCCTGTCCATGACAAGGAGCTCCTGGCAATGAAATATGCCCTTGTGAAGTTCCGTGTTCACCTTCTGGGCTCTACGCCCTTTGTGATCTACACAGACCACGCGTCCTTGAGGACGGCGACTAACTCGCCTCACCTCTCCCAACGGATGGCGAGGTGGCTGTCCTTCTTCGCGGAATATAACTTCCGCGTCGAGTACAAGCCGGGCAAGCTCAACGTTCTTGCGGACGCCCTCTCTAGGCGTCCCGACTATGAGTTGGCCCACATCACGCGGGTGACAACGGATCTATATGATCGGATACGCATGGCGTATCGGGACGATGAGGCTGTCGCGCCTATCGTCAAGTTCCTTAAGGCCGGAACGAGCGCGAAGTCCGACTGGCTCTCGTCGCGACAGCGCTCACGGCTCCACCGATATGAGTTGAAGGAGGGCCTCCTCTATTATCGGGTAGAGCCCACTAATCCTCCACGGGTGGTTGTACCCAACGACGAGGATCTGAAGTTCGACATCCTCGCGGAGGCGCATGACGCGCCCTCCAGCGGCCACTTGGGCCGCGAGAAGACCTTTCTGTCGGTCTCTCAGTCCTTCTGGTGGACCCACATGTACAAGTGGGTCGCCCGGTACGTCAAGACATGTGAAACATGTCAGCGGGTTAAACCCGCAGGGCACTCTTCGGCTCCACTACAGAGCCTGCCCGTACCGGCTGATTGTTGGAAGTCGATGAGTCTTGACTTCATCTTTGGGCTTCCCGCCGACGGACACGGCAACACCGGAATTTTGGTGTTCGTGTGTCGGCTGAGCAAGATGGTACATCTTGCTCCAGTTCCCGTCACTGTGACGGGCGAACAAACCGCAAGGTTGTTCGTCGATGGCGTGTTCCGCTATCACGGTCTCCCGGAGACGATTGTCTCGGACCGAGACCCGCGGTTCACTGCTGCGTTTTGGAAAACGCTGTTCCCTTTACTGGGAACTCGTCTGCAGATGTCCACTGCGGATCATCCGCAGACAGACGGCCAAACAGAGCGCGTCAATCGAGTGCTCGAGGACACTCTGCGCAGTGTGTGCGCGGCAGCGCCACGTACGTGGTCGACGCAGCTTCCAGTTGTTGAGTTTGCGCTCAACAACGCGGTGCACGCGTCCACGGGGTTCACGCCGTTCTACTTGAACGGCTTCCGCCACCCCAGAGTGCCTCTCACTCTTCGAGGAACCTCTATTCTAAGTGGGGGAGAGGCTCGGGAAGCCCTTTCCTCCCAGGTCTCGGATGTGAGGCCAGTTTCGCTGCGGAAACAGGTGGAATCCTTTATGGATACCAAGCTGAACATTGTCAGCAGGGTCCGCGATGCCATGGCAGCGGCCCAAGATAAACAAAAGGAGTACTCGGACAAACAAGGAAGAGGAAACTTAAGTATATTTGAGATTGGTGACTTAGTGTTACTAGACACGAGGAACCTACCTCTAGACACTGTTAGCTCTGTCGGCAGCAACAAGCTGAAGCACCGCTTCATCGGACCTTTTGCAGTCCTGGCCAGACATGGTGCGTCGTACACCATCGACCTTCCAAAGTCAATGACGACGCACCCGACGTTCTATGTCGGACGTCTTAAGCGGTACTTTGACCCGCAGGGGGTTGCTGACTCGCAGACCCCCCTTGACCCAGCTCCTCGAAGCGAGGGCCGGTCACAGACGTCGACGAGGGCGTCGGAGCAGGCACCCAAGCCTCGGTCGGGACGGCAAGGCTGCGGTCAAGACCGTACGCCGGAGGGGCTCCATACGAACGGACCCCGGCGCCATACGCCGAGTACGCTGAGTACGCCGGGTACGCACCATACGCGTACGTCTGGGAGTGTGCCGCAGGCGGCTCCGGACGTGGCAACAAAGCCTCGATCCGTCGGATCATGCGAAAGGCCTCGTCCAGATCGGACGAAGAGGCCCGGCGGTCCACCCGCAGGTGCAGGCTCGCGACCTCTCGCTCCACCAGGTCCAGGCGACCCGCAAGACGAGCGAGCTCGCCCTGATTCCCGGCCTGGGCGGCAGCATTACCGCCAGTCCCAAGGCCAAGTGCAATCTCAAGCACGAGGAGACGTTGACGGAGGCGGTCAACCTCAGGGTCCCGTGTCGGACCCGCAGTCGGAGCACTCGAACGAGAGTGGCTCTCGGGAGGCGCCGAGTACTCGTACTCGTACGAGGGCACCTCCGCCCCTGCTTGACCGGAATGGAGAAGTCCACTTCCACGTGGAGCGGATCCTCCAGGAGCAACGGTGTCGCGGGAAGCGACAGCTCCTCGTGAAGTGGAGGGGTTATGCCCACTCCGAGAACTCGTGGGAGCCGATTGAACGGCTCCTGATTGACTGCCCGAAGGCTGTCGCAATCTGGGAACAGAAGCGGCGGCAGCTTCATAAGTAGTCCGGGGCTTCTTGCCCAAACCGGGGTACGGATGATGAATACATACCGTACCCGCGCTCATCGTGAGCGCTAGAAGCCGCGCGCTTCAGGATGTCCCTTGGCAGCATACGCTTGCTGATCAAGTGGGCAAACCTCACACGAAGATCACGCTGGTCCAGGATGTGGGACAGCTGCTGATCTTCATGGAGTTCACATAACTCCGTGGGCGAGTACTTGAGAGTCTCCACCCACGCCCAGAACATGTCCTCACAAGAACTCCATGTGGGACAGTTCTCGGGCATAACCCAGGGGTATCCCCAAACAGGATAGAGACCACCCCGGGTCTCGGGCTTCTTACGACAAGTCGTGAAGTCCTTAAGGGGAATGCGGTGTGGCGCGAGAAGCACACACCGAGCAGCCTCCACGTTGTCGACGAACAACTGTTCTTTCTGAACAAGGGCTCGTTCATAGATGCCCCTAGAAGTGTGGGCCGCCCACAAGGCCACGAGGAGCGACGAGAAGCTCTAAGAAGAGGTCAGCCCCAGAGCTCTCCTCGGGAGGCCAATATCCTCTTGAGTTGATGGCAGCTCCCTGGCTGACGGGTGCCGCCACCGAACCCCCACGCACACGCTGGGCAGCTTGGAAATCCTCTTGCTGCTGGTCGAGGTCATTCGAGACCTCCCGGGGCTCAACAATGGCACCCTCCTCTTCCTCTTCTTCCTCCTTCTCCTCCTCTTCATCCGAGGAGTCGAAGAGAACGTACCCGGAGCGTCATGTCGTTGAGATAATAGTGGTGTTATTGAAAGAAGTGTATCCTTATTTATACTCGCTATTTCTCGGCTGGTTTTAAGCCCTGTCTACTTCTAGCAAATACTGACGTAAAGAAATTATTATTTTAACAAATTGACCAAAACGACACATGTAATCGCTGTGAGTCTTTTTCGTGTAACCTATTAAAAATCGCCAAACTTCACTACAACTGATTAGACCACCATATCACTTTTATAACATATTATGTGCTTATCGTACGGAGTTGATCAGTTTAGTTTTGTAAACAACCAAATCGTTGTTTTAGCGAGCCGACCTCGCGTTCAGAGAATACACAACTCAATTGGGGAACTGGGACCGAGTGGTCCGGGGGGGTCACGCGTGCAAAACAGATTATTGTGTTTGGAGAATTAGATAAACTAGGGGAGACGACGATAAAGTCTTGGATGACAAAGTTATTGGAAATATGCAAAGTGTGGTCGAGCGCGAAATCTATCTTGCGGGGGCCAGTTGCACGGACACGAATGCTGGCATCTTGTGTTGTTGTCGTCGATAACGTCACCAGCACAACTTGGCCAAGGTGGACGGTTGTATTTTTTCTCGGGATCTCGGTAGTTTTTGGGTGAGTTTTAGCATATTATAATTCGCCGCCATTTCTTCACGGGAGAATTATCGCTGATACGGAGCTGTATACGTATAAGTTTGTTATTGCTTCTGCTCACGCTAAATTAACCCCTTGAACGCGGAGACTTGCAATAATGTCTTATGCTGTTCCGAACAGCATAAGAAACACTTGATTTCACTATGGCTTGAAATCCGCAAACTGCCATCGTCGACACTTCCCAAATTGAAAAGGTTTTGATTGGTCCACGTTTTGAAAGCAACGAATTCTATTGGATAACATTTACAGCCGGATTGAAGTAGGAATAAGAAATCAGTCAGCGCCCTTTAGATCGCAAGCTTTGAGTTCTGCGATATGGTTAGATAGGAACTTGTCGAAGCGTAGTTGCCACACTGGATGGCTATGAGTTCACACTGGATAACTATGAGTTCTCACGCTTGGCTAAGTACTTCGAGATAGATCTCTCCTCACGGTGCCATTCGGCAGGAGCAGCGAATGCACCATACGAACGGAATCGCTTGTTGCATCGTGGATAGGGACACAGCAGATCAACTTCATCTTCTGACGACGAACCCGAATCCTGGTTCAAGACCATTTCCAACACAGGTGCGCGCATCTTGAAACCAGGAAGCACATCACCACCGTCAAGATCTCTCCACGCACTGTTGTCAGAGCATTGTACGTCTCCATTGTCGTCGAGATAGTACTCATACATCCGCTGAAGGTCTGGGCGTGGGTCGATCAGCCAACCCAACTGGACGCCGTGCTGGAAATAATCATTTCTCATCTTTCGATCAAGAGCGCTGAGTTGAGAGCCTCGACCAGAGAGCTCATCAATTTCAACAACAAAGGTGGGGACATAGGGATCGCCACGATACGTCCACATCTGTTCACGAGTCAAATTCCTGTCATCATATCGCGGTGTGTATGCCACGTCGGGCATTCTCACGTTGGGCTTTCCGAGACGCTGCTCCAGAATGAACGCCCCTTGCGAGGTTGTCACTCTGCCTCCTTCTCCAGACCACTTTGCCCATTCTCCGAGGAGCTCTGCAATCTTGGCCGCCACCTTCATATTGCCATACACGACCATTCGATAGGGACAGAAGCGGCCTTCGTCGATGAAGAACGCCGGCTGCTCGCCAAAAACGGGGTTACGAACACCAAAATTCCGGTGTTGCCATGTCCGTCGGCGGGAAGCCCAAACATAAAGTCAAGACTCATCGACTTCCAACAGTTAGCCGGTACGGGCAGGCTCTGGAGTGGAGCCGAAGAGTGCCCTGCGGGTTTGACCCGTTGACATGTTGCGCATGTCTTAACGCACCGGGCGACCCAAGGGTCCACCAGAAGGGCTGTGAGACCGACAGAAAGGTCTTCTCGCGGCCCAAGTGGCCGCTGGAGGGCGCGTCGTGCGCCTCCGCGAGGATATCGAACCTTAGATCCTCGTCGTTGGGTACGACCACCCGTGGAGGTTCATTGGGCTCCACCCGGTAATAGAGGAGGCCATCCTTCAACTCATATCGGCGGAGCCGTGAGCGCTGTCGCGACGAGAGCTAGTCGGACTTCGCGCTCGTTCCTGCCATTAGGAACTTGACGATAGGCGCGACGGTCTCATCGTCCCGATACGCCGTGCGTATCCGATCATATAGATCCGTTGTCACCCACGTGATGTGGGCCAACTCATAGTCAGGACGCCGAGAGAGGGCGTCTGCAAGCACGTTGAGCTTGCCCGGCTTGTATTCGACGCAAAAGTTGTATTCCGCGTAGAAGGACAGCCACCTCGCCATCCTTTGGGAGAGGTGAGGCGAGTTAGTCACCGTCCTCAAGGATGCGTGGTCTGTGTAGATCACGAAGGGCCGGGAGCCCAGAAGGTGAACACGAAACTTTACAGAGGCATATTTCATTACCAGGAGCTCCTTTTCGTGGACAGGGTAGTTCCGCTCGGCGGCTTTGAGCTGCCTAGACTGGAACGAGATGACTCGTTCGTGTCCAGCCGTGTCGGCCTGCAGCAATGCACATCCGATGGCGGAATAGGAGGCATCGCAGACGACGCTTAACGGCTTCGTCTCGTCCAGCAGGGCCAGGACAGGACAGGGGTCTCTTGGAGACTGGCCTTGATGCTGTCAAAAGCATCCTGGTGCTCTTGCTTCCAGCGCCAGTTGACGTCCTTCTGAAGGAGGCTCGACAAGGGCTTAGCAAAGCCCGCGTACGCTGCGCTGTACTTGTGAAGGTAGTTGGCCAAGCCCAACCACTTTCGAAGATCCTTCTGGGATCGGGGCGTCGGCCTTACTGTTATGGCCTTGACCTTGTCTGGGTCAGCCCGAACGCTCACGTTGGTTACGAAGCAACCGAGAACTTTAATCTGTGGTGACGCGAAAACGCACTTGTCGATGTTTGCGTAGAGCTTGTTCGCTCGCATTACGTCCAACACTCGACGGAGGTATCCTAGATGCACCTCCATGGCCGTCTTGCCTCCCTCGGCAGGGCTATGGACGAATATGTCGTCGAAGTACGTCCGTACGAAGGTACGCAAAGGGCGGAACAATTGCGTCACCAGGCGATTGAACGTCGCCGGGGCGTTAGACAAGCCCTGCGGCATGACGAGCCACTCCCAAAGCATGCCGCTTGGAGTGCTTACCGCGGTGAGCGGGATGTCGCTCTCTCGTATCAGGATTTGGTAGTATCCGTCTACCAAATTCAGCGCACTGTACAGTAAGCTCCCGGCCATGTTGTTCAACAACACATCCTTTCGTGGGATTGGTGTTTGGGCCGGCACCGTTGCGTTGTTCAGCTTATTATAAGCGTGAACCAGACGCCACTTTTTGTTCGGCTATCGAACGCAGAAAGTCGGCGTCGAGTGCGGGGATTTCGACTCCCGCACCATGCCTGCCTTCGCTTTCGCGGCGAAGAAGGCATCAATGACCTCGCACTGTTCGCGCGGGAGAGGCCATGTCCTCCTGACACAATACTTTGTGCCGGGCACGAGATCAATCTCGCGCCGTACGCCTCGATCCGGTGGGAGTTGGGTCGGTGGGTGTTTGTTCACCACGTCCTCATACTCCGTCACCAAAGGATACACCGGATCCTTGGGGTTCTTAAAGATCTCAGAACCCAAGCGCGTTTGACGCTGCTTGTTTAGATCTTCCAGGACGTTCTCATCCAAGACAGAGGAGGAGTTCAGCTCCTCCCGAGTGGTCTCAGGTCTCATGAGCACCATCTCAGCAATCTCTCCAGCCTTGAGGCTGGCCAGGAAAGACTCAGCCGTCATTTCCTCGAGGTTCAGTATCTCTGCAACCCCTGGCAACGGTTTTAAGTGGACACCAGATGCCTTGACGGGTAAACCGGTCTCGCCATCGAAGATGTGATAACACTCTTCCACCGGCCTTGTCGGAGGAGCCCGGGCCCTGGACTCCGAGTCGCTTGAAGCGACGTCGATCGGAACGAAGTTCGGATCCGACTTGAGGCGGCGGCGGCGTCGTTGACGACGGCGATCGTGACGTGGTGCTTTGCTGCCCACGTCTAGGGATGTCGTCGCTACGACATCCGAGGCACTGTGGTACCCACACAGGAAGCGTGTTCAACGCCTTCCTCTTCAGTTAAGGTCTGGGCGACCGCGTGTGGCACTGTGTTACCCACACAGGAAGCGTATCCGACGTCTTCCTCTTCAATTAAGGTCTGGGAGACCGTGAGTGGAACTCTGTTACCCACTCTGAACACGCTGTTGTCAGTGTTCGTGACAGCTGCAGCTGTCTGCGGAACTAAGTTACCCGCCCGTGGACCTAAGTTACCCACTTGGCCAGCGTCGCTTCTGGGCGCTGCCATCATCAAAACATCCTCGGAGTCGTCATATACGTCGACAACTCCCAAGCATCTGCCGGATGCTTTGGTACCCTGGCAGCCCTTGCGGGCGCCCCGGGTCCTGACAGAGGTGGGAACATGACTCACCAATACTCTGTCGGACTGCGCAGGGCGGCTGGCACCGATTGCCTTGCCTCGCCAGTCGATCCAGGGCTCGTGCTTCTCAAGCCAGGGCATGCCCAGGATCATATCATATGGATCCATATCGAGAACAGTGAACTGTTCGAGGCTGTCAAAGTCTTCAACCTTGACGGCCAGATCCACTTGGACGTTGGGGACAGTGACGACCTTCCCGTCGGCCAGTCGCACTGACACCGTCCCGTTGCCCTTTCTTTCTCTCAAAGCATCGGACAACTTGTTGCTGCTGCGAGCAACCGTCTGGCGGCGTGCGAAATTCTTCGACACCCCAGAATCGATCAAGATTCTAAAGGGATGATCGTATCCCCGTACACATCCGTGTACTACGAGCAACCCGCCACTGCTCTTCGCCGATTCGAGAGTGCGAAGACTCTCAGGGGCTAAGTCCCCGTGGTACGCGCCATCCGCGCACCCATCACGAAGACTTAGTTCTTCCCCAGTAGGGCGCCCCACCCCTACTGGTTCCCAGCGTTCCCCTGTCCCCGGGATCCTGGCTTCTGCCAGCGACCCTTGAGGACGGGTTTGGGGAAGGACCGTCTGCGGAGTCTTTCCGCAGGACAGTCGCGCTTGAAGTGGTCCATCTTCCCGCAGCCGATGCAGCGGATGTCACGCTGTTCGGCGGACCCGAGTTCCCTGGGAACAGGTCCGTTGGGGCTTGTTCGGCCGGGATCCGACAAGGAACTCCCAGGCCATGCTGAGGCCGGCGTACGCGCGTGGCGATGGCTGTACTCTTCTTGAAGAGCCACTTGAATCGCCTCTTCAAGGGTGCTTGACTGCACCCGGAACAGCTGAGTGCGTGCGGGGCCCACTCGAAGGCCGTCCATGAACACAGTCATCTTGATGTGTTCGTTGAGTGGGTTTTCCACTAGGGACGCCGTGAGCTCCCGTATCTCTTGCACGTACTCGTGCAGTTCGCGCCTCCCTTGTTTACACGAGAGGAAGCGCGAACGCTGTCGGTAATCGTAGTTCGCCGGGAGGAACGCGGCTCGGAGCTGTTCACACAGCTGAGCCCAGGATGTGAAACATCCAGGGGATGTTGCTTCCCGTGTGTACACCCACGTCTTAGCACGGCCGCTAAGGTTGGATAGTGCAAAAGCAACACGAAGTTGCTCGGTCGAGATCAGAGCCGCGTCCATCGCGAGCTCTACTTCTCGGACCCAGAAGTGAAGGTTCTCGCCTTCCTTTCCTTCATACGGCTTAACCTTCAGCCGTATTGGCTTGGGGTGAGGCGGATTTGCTTCCGCCGCTGGAGCCGGCAGGTTCTCCCGCACATGCGCGATGAGGCCCTGCTCGTACGCGTCGAACGCATTGACGCGCTCGAGCTGCTCAGCCAGTGTTGACACCACCAGGCTCTACAGGGCCTCCATCCCGAAGATGCCTGCCATCTTCCGAACCGACTCGAACTGAGAGTCGTTCATATGGGAGAAGTCGCTCCTATCCATGGCAACGAACTTCGGAGAGGTTCAGGTAGTCTACCCGCGGTGGCGTGGATTGACTACAAGTGCTACCAAGTGTGACGGGGTAACACAACACCTTGCGCTAGAGGAAGTTGGCTTCCGAAAGTGTACAAACACTCAGTGAACCACAGTTCACAGGTCCCCTCTTTGGTTAAAAGAGAGCGAAGTGACCTAATTAAAGGTAGAATGTAAACTGAGTACCGGAATTTACGTGTTTTCTGCAACCCGTGTAAAAAGTACCTTTCAAGTCAAAACCGTAAGAACGGCGGAAGGCGTAAAATCTCGCACAAGATACTCCTGTCCATTTGAAACTGTCTCTTTGCTCATAATATTGTAAGCAATAGCGTGCTTTAACTGGGACACTGTTTTGATGCCAAACTGGTTAATTTTGTTGGTGCTGCAGACTTTTTACGGGCCACTAATTGCAAAAATTTGATCGGTTGCAAAAATACCGTTAATTCCGGTATATTTATAGGTAGATAAAGTTTAGGTTTAATACAAACTATAAGTCACCTATAGAAATGGACTGTCGTTGACCAATGGTGGGCTTTGAACGACCTTGGTACTTTGTACCAAATATCCCGAAGTATGACGTGTCATACTCCCGAAGTGTGGAGTGTCACACTTCATGTAATCAGGGTACACTTAGGGCTACGTACCCCGTTACAGCTATCCACTATCGATTGCGAGCTGCTCACAACCAAAGTATACTTTGTGGTATCTTGTGACGTTGGATGCAAAATCGATACTGTATTAAATTAGCTGCTCTTCTCGATACCCTAAGCGGTCGTTTTCTATGCGAGGCGACTCTCGCCAATAAGCGCCATGCGATTATTATGAAACCACATGACGTTCAAGTCAAAAACAAATTTTGCCCCCACCCCACCCCACTCGTCGCTACGTCCGCAGTCAAGTGCCAACGCGCTACGGAAAACAACGTTTGCCCTTGGTGGGTCATCCCCTGCAAACAAACTTATCTTGAATAAAAATGACCAGCCGAAACGTTTTGGTGTTCTGCTGCAACCTGAACACCGAAACGCTTCGGCTGACGTTTTTGGGTCGTGGGTCTGCTGATGCCCAGCTTCGTAGACGCAAGCAAAACGTTTTCTTAGTAGAAAAAATTGTAGACAGATGCAGGCAGTTACTGAAACATTTAGGCCGTGTTCGATCTAAGCTAAAACCAGCTGTAATTGTTATTAAAGAGCTGGAATGTCTCAACCAGCTTTATTCCGCTAAGAAACACCAAAAATGACATCCAGCAGGATAGCTCCAAACGACTGGTTTCAAAATTCAGCTCTGGGTTGAATTTTAATTCGTCCTCCTTTGCGCCTTCAAATCCAGCCTTTTTCTGATGGAACACGATCACTTATTTTTATCTTTATTTTACTTAACAAAACGACTGTTCTACAGCTCTAGCTTATTTTCAAACAAGCTGGATTTGCCCCGGCAAACCGAACACGGCCTTAAGTTCCTACTATCTCACCAATAAACGTTTGTGCAACACACATGCCCATGTACAAAACTGCATCCGTAAAGAGGAACCAATTCGCAAAAATGAACCACTTGCCCCCGATATTTAAAAAATTACAGATCAAAGCACCTTCCACTGTCATTCCATATTAAGAATTCAGCACTCGTATCGCGCGAGCCCTCTCACTTTGAAAATTAGCTGCCTATTGAGCGAAATTGCTTTTGGCCAACTCGGTTCGCCGTTTGCAAAAAGCTGCATCTGCGAGCAAGATCTGTTTACTTTTCGGTGCTAGAAAATACAAATTATGTAATAATAAGTAAAGCTCACAAATGGGGTGTCTAGGAAATGTAAGATGACCCACCTTCTGATTTTAGTAATCGAATTTTGGCGCTGAGCGCACTTGGTGTTCTTGGTGCTGAATTCACCTGGTATTCTTGATCTTACAAAGACTCTTACTGCTTTTGAATATCGTATTGTGGTACAGCTTGTTAGAATAGCGGTAAGGAACCTTTTCAATTTTTCTCACAAAAAAATATTTAAGTTTGCTATTTTTATCGGCATCTTTCGAGAGAGAGATCAACTGCTGTTAAGTAATGTTAAGGATATAGGAATTGAAAAGCACATCAAAATAGTGTTTCTAGGAGGTGTGATGAGTTTTCAGTTAGCAAAGCAGCATAGCCAGTAGCAGCGTGCACTTGCAGAGGTTGGAGACGTCCGAGGTGGACGACAACACGAACGGGAACACCGTACTGGCCACACACAGCTCATGGTATTATTTATAGCTAGAGGTGGACTTTGTTAGAGAGAAGACTCACAACTAACAGTACGACTTCAGGTTGCTGAGACTTGTGTAGTACACCCTAAACCCTGTATAACAATAATTACAAAAGTTTCTTTTATAGTACAAATATCGTGCTGATATTAAAAACGAAATTGTGCGATGCAACATATTCTACTAGCAATACGAGAGAAAATGCCATCGCGCTTGTTTCTTAAATTTCGGAGCTCCTTCGGGCGAAGCACGACTTAGTGCTTTGAGGTACTACGAAACGTTGTGCTACCTTGTACAACTATAGTAATACTAGTATGGCAGCATCCTCACGGCGATTGGTCGCCACGGTTGCTAAGGGGCCAATACCGAAAAATTTATTATAAAAAACTTTTGGGCACCGCCCCCCAAGCATCATATGCAAATACATAGGTTGAAGCACAGCAACATTTTTTTTCATTTTGAAAAGCTACAGTTGACAGGACCTTGTTGCTGCCAGTTGCGTCGCTACAGAGGAGGTAAGTGTGTACTGCTGGTGCGGTGAACGTCCTGATACGACAGCACTCACGCTATGTTATGCTGTCAAGATCTTAGCTGTGCCAAACGCCGAAGAAGGTCCACGCTAGGGGCTCACAACCAGAAAGAAGCCTCAGTTCAGACCAATGCAAGTATCCTGGTTATTGTCGCAACAAGAGGGCATTCAAGAGGAATGGAGAACGCCACTGGCTCTGCGCTGAACATCGCGATCATCAGAATACTATGCAGCGTGATCGCTACCGGAAAACTACTAAGAAGGATGGCAAGAAGGAAACAAAGAAGAAAACTACGGCAATCAAAAAACGGAAGATCCAGAATTCTACGTCTTTGAGCACCAAAAATAAGGGATCAACTCCTGCATCTACGGCTTCGATTGAAGATTCCTGTTCAAGCACAAGCCGTGATAACGTAGTTGTGGAGCATGTCGAGCTGGATGTACCTGCGGTGAGCAACGCTCAGCGACCACGTGCTGTCGAAGGTGTTAAGGAAAAATCATCAGGGCAATCAATCCGTGAAGACGAGAATGCAAGTTCTGCCCTAGGCGGGGAGGTTTCGACGCATCGTGAACATTCGCCTTGCCTGTGCCACAATTCCCCTTTGGTGCAGTCTTCCCAAATGATCTACATGCTAGTTCCGCTACAGAATGGGGCATCATTGCCGTTATGCACGGCTCAGCAACAGTCTATGATGCCGGCCTCTGTGGTGGTTGCACCAGGAAGTTTAGGTGGTGCTACTACAGTCTCTCAAGTTCAGCATGTAATGCTACCGGTATCTCAAGTCCAGAATAACGTCACCTCATCCCAGCGCGCCTATGTTGTGTCTGCGCCACCAGCTCCAACAAGTACGTACTCGCCGCTTATTCTTTGAAGATCATCATGTAAGCGGCTACGTCAACTAACTGTGGAATGGCTTTGTTGCATTAGAGCAGGGTGGTGAAACTGACGCTGGCAATACGGTCAGTATTTGAGGCATGGGAGCTTACTACGTGTTCTTCGCGTGCTGTGATATGCTCTTACGATTTTTTAAGTACTACGATCACAATAATTCATAGGAATAAAAATTATTTTGATTCAAGGTGAATATTGCTCTACAGACGGTTTATCTAAAATTGACGTAAACTTGCACTTCATACAGGCAAACTTGCACATTTTTTTTTGCAGGAAAGAGCAAACCAAGCAGAGCTCTTACATACATGTAGTAAAACTCTATTTCGAGTTGAAAATCACATTTTCATTAATTGCCCAGCGATATTATGTATTCTTGCCGATACTGCAAATACAACGAGTCATAGCCCCGTTAATACGCAGACTCCAGTAGTTGATACAGTGCGAATGAACGCTTGTGGATGCACTGGTTACATTGTTTAAACTTTTTTTGTTTGGTGACGTTACATTGACGCCACTTAGTTAGACTAACGACTTCATAGTTTTATTTGAATCTTCACTCAATTTCCATGTCCTGTTCGTGTCGTAGCCCTTGTTTGCCAGCAGTCACGATCAACCCGAAGAGCTTAGTTTTACTTAAGTCCTTCGAAGTACAGCACTAGAATCTTGCTTCCACCCAGGTATGCGCAGCCATCATTACTGCAGCAATATTACATTGCTTTATCGGAGTCCCTAAAACAAAGCATGTTAAAAAGCCTCGTTGCTGTCCAGAATCACAAGCTTTCTCACCTCTTGTAGTTCTCGGGGCGACAAAGTTGTCTTTTTCTATTGCGTTGCGCTACGAGCTGTTTTGGCGCCTCGAAAGCCATTTTTCGTAGTTTTCACCTTCCTATCATCTTGGTGTGATGGTGCTGTTGTGGGCTTGCGCCACCGCTTTCATTCTGTCTACCACCGACGAAGCAGCTAGCGTCGTTTGGGCGACAGCTTTTAAAACACGCTGCTCCTCACTTCGGAAAATTGCTAATTGCTCGGGAGTAGCTGTGAGTCGTTCTAGTGTCAGTGGCTGTGTAACAACTATTAAATTTCGATGTGTTATACGTGAAAGGGCTACGTATGCAAACGAAATGTTTGGCAATTGCATTAGAGTGAAAAACCACAGACGAGCATGTAAGCCCTTGTACCTTATGCACTGTCATAGCATAAGCCAATCGAAGCGGAATTCCCCTTCGAACAACGCGAAGATCACTGGATGCATTTCCCCAAGAAACGTCTTTTGGTGGTATTGGAACGATATTTGGTACTTCATCTAGTAGGGAAGGACCGATATACGGGTCCGTGACTTGAACGAGCACGATGGGTAGATCGCTTTCCGACACAAAAAAGAAGTCATAAACGATCGCATTTGTACCATTGCACAGACCTGCAGCTTGGGCAATGTTGTAGGTAAGTGTTATAGGTGCACCAACACACAGTTTTAACCTGTTAGGCACCACTCTGTCATGATCAGCGTTAGCTGTTTGAGCGTCTGTTAGAAGTGCGAGAGCGGTTCCAGCAGGTATGTCTCGTTTTGTCGTTAAACGTTTTTGTTGAACGAAATGCTGCGAAGTTAAATGCACAATCGGTACATGAGCTGATACTATACTGTGATCGTTGGCGTCATTAACATCTATATTTTTGTATGCAATATGTTTGGCATTAGCCATCCACTTAGGTTTTCCAACAAATTGCACTGAACGGGAGTTGAAGAGATCAATGTCATCCTGGGTTGGCGATTTTTTACGTAGACGACGAAGAGCGCTAAACCAGTCAGGATCTAAAGCTCCTCTATTTTGACTAGTTAGCATACACACCGTTTCAATACTATCCCATATTTCTTTCCCACGTCGCTGAACCTGGTTTGAAATCTTTTGAAGGGGTGTTGATAGTGAAGTTGGGACAACGGGGTCTAATTGAGCAGAATCTCCAGTAAAGTACACATCTCTTCCACCAAAAAGCTCGTTTGAGTTGCTTGGCCATATTTCTCTCATTCAATTATCAATCCAATATACCATGCCACAGGATATCATGCTAAACTCATCAATAATAACTAGATGTACGTCTTTATATTCTTCCTGCAATCGTTTCAGCTTTGTTGGGCCCGTTTTCGAGTCCGTTAGAGATTTGTAGGGAATTGAGAATGAGGACTTTGAAAACGATGAAAATGAGAAAGCTGAGCACAGTGTCATTCCTTTTATGTTAAATGCAGCAGTTCCTTGATGAGCTAGGAGTAGTACCCGTTTTGATTTCCGTCTCGTAGCTTTATGTTCACCAAATACGTTGTGCATGTCCTTCACTATATGGCGAATTAGCCAGCTTTTCCCACAGCCACCTTCACCGTTTATAATCATTTGGAGAGGCTTACACTTAGATTTATCCAGCATACATGTAAACCGTCTTCTCGATTGTTCCATTGCAATTGCAAACGGAATCCACTGCGATTCAGCCATTTTTTCGGTATATACTAAATTTTTGTTATCCGAAGTAGGGTACTGATAGTGCGATTTCAAATTTCCAGTTTGACAAAAACTGGTTCCTAGTGATCGAGATTCTTTTTTCTCCTTCACCCATGGCTTTAGTGATCCATTCAAAAAGTCACGAGCTTTATCAATGATGGCAGACGTGTAGGTGTGTTTGGCTTTCCACTCCATCGGTTTATTTTGGTTTACTGAGGTTTCTACCGCACCCATCGGCTCTGGTTCTAGCATTTCTCCATCAGTATTCGATACAAACACATACTCAGACGGAGGCAGGGCAGTTATACTTGATTCGCTACGAGCGGATTTTATTAAATCTAATTGATACTGCCGAGCTAACTTGGCATTTGATTCGTGTTTCAACTCTGCATCCAGCAGCGAATTTTGAGCTTGAAAAAAGCGTGCTATTGCTTCATCATCGGTTGTGGGAAGCTTCTCTAACGTCCGCCATGGAACATACAAAAATACTTCGGAGAAACAGAAAGTGGGGTTCGACGAATCGGGTCGTATCCAGGGTGTCTTTTGCACAACCGTCGCTTTCTTGCGTTTCTTGATCCACCCTTCACCGTTCATACACTCGTACAGATCATCGGAGGATGCTACTTTACGTATCGACTCAATCGTTTCGAAAGTCTCTACAAATGTTGCTAAAGTCATAGCGTTAAAATGATCATTGTCCGGGCGATTCATGTACGCTTTCTCGATAGGCTCAATTCGAATAGTCTCGATCTCTGGTGTACTTGCTAAGGCAACAAGGTCGTCTAGGTTTTGCGGCTCAACGCGATAGTAACGGGTACTGTGACGCATCACCTTGACTTTGGTGATTGAGCGGGATTTACTATGCATTGGTAGATTGCGAAGGAGAATGTATATAGCTTCCGGTGCACCAACCTCGCGAACCGCGAGAGTCGCATTTGCTACTCGCTTCAGAATCGAATGATAGGGGAGATTTGAGTCACTCCGTTGTATAGCTTTTGCAATCACTCGCCTGAATCGAAGTGTATCTGGCTCTGCTTTGCTTACATACGCTCCTGTGTATTCAGCAGCTCGGTAGGAGTTTTCAATTAGTTGCAGGTCCATATTAGCACGCCAACACGAAAGGAGATGCGGTGAATAATTGTTAATAGTGGACACCTCACGTTGTAAGTGGATTTCAAGGAAGGTGTGCCATCTGAACTCGTTTTCGACTCAATTACAGTTCTAGGTTGTAAACTCTTGGGGAATCCAAAACGACATTCGTTGCCTTTCTTCCTACAAGTAGAACCTGCGTGGCATTCATGCTGCTGCACACGCTGAACAAGTCTGGCCAAATCACAATTCCACTCTTTGTTACCATAATGTGGTGGTCTTAAGGCCAGAATGTCACTTTCACTGGCAGTACAAGCAGAGCATGGGCACGAACTAAGCTCCGAGAGCGTCTTCGTTAGGACTGATATGTGTTTATCTACAAAATCAGCTAGTTCGGCCCGTCCATCATCCGTCTCTGATAGTTTTAAAACGTCAGGTGCATCTTTCACCCACAGCAAGCAATGTATGTGAGGAGAGCCTCGTTGCTGAAATTCTACACGCCAGAAAAGATCTACAATTTCGCCTAAAGGCTTAGACCTCCCGCATAAAATGTTATCGAAGAATGCTTGAAATCTTCTGTTAAAATGACGGGCACTAATGTCTGGGTTCTCATTTAGATTCCTCCTTCTTTCATTAAACGAGAGCTGTCTGCACTCTTTCAGTGTCAATGCAGGATTGCATGCTCGAGCGAAATCTGGCCAAATCGAATCCGCTGCGCTCAGTGTTAAAAAGAAAGTAGGCCATTTCGTTGGCAATACTCGATTTCCTATCATTGACATTAGGTCTTCTCGTACGTTCGACCAGTATAGTCCACTACCTCTCACAACTTTAAAGTAAGGTTTTAAGGATTTCAAAACGTTCATAGCGACACTAAGTTCTTCCTTTTCGCTACTGGAGCGGCTTTCTCCTTGTGTTCTTCCACAACCGGCTAATTCCATTGCCTCGGCACGTGTTTCAGAATAGCGAATTCGTCGAACTAAACCGTCAATTTGACGGCGTTGAATTAGATTCATGCAGAAGAATTTAAAATTGCCGTGGATAACATAGCGCCGGTCGTGCCACTTCATCAAGTGAGCACAATATTCGGCTAGATTGTACTCGTGATGTCTAGTTTCGAATTCCAGAGGGTGATAACCACCCAAACCGTCTGGAAATAAAGTAGGAAAGCAACATTGCATTAGTTGTTTCGTTTTGTACTCATCAATAGTATGAGTTCTACGGTGCATATTTCCAATCGGGATTTAGTTTCTAAAGAATCGGCTCCTATCGAATTAAGAATATGATCCATTTCAGTTTGATCGTCTTGGTTCACTTCTAATTCAAATGACTCAGTCACATTTTCAAGAATATCCGTTTCATTTTCACTGCCATTCGAACTCGTAGTAGTAGTAGCTAAATGACTCTGTTTTCCCTCAGATTCACTCTCATTTCGGACACCGGAACAAGTTTGGCCAGTTATACAGTGAGTATCTGGATTAAGTTTTTGACAAACGTCGTCTTCA